CCCAAAGTCAACCAAACAACCTCTTGTTGGCAAATCTAGTAACTCTTCTCTTATTCTCCTCTCACCTCACCCTCCCTGGCATTTGGACTGTGATTCTGAAACACTTTCTCTCTTTAGCTTCTAAGCCCGCCGTCTTCTGCTGCTTTACCTGCCCAGATCACTAGGTGCTGCTCCTTTCTAACTAACGCTAAACGTCGACTCCTCCTTTTTCCAGTTCAATCCATCAGCAAAAGTCTGTCAGCTACATTTCCAAAATGGGTCTCAAGTTTATCCTTTTCTCATCTGCCTGGTTATGCACTGGTCCTTACAAAGTCTCCCAGGCTCCAAGCAGGTAGAGTGACCTTTTAAAAATATAAACCAGGTGATGTCTTTCCCTCACTCAGAACCCTCCAGTGTCTTCTCAACATACCCAGAAAAAAACCCAAACTCCGGACTCTGGCCTAGAGGGCTCTGCAGTTCTGCTCTCCACGCACTTCCCTGAGCTCACACACACCTCACTGCGGGGCTCTCTGCTGGGACACTACTGTGCCAGCTCTTCATAGGGCTCAACTGAATTTTTGTTTACGTTATTTAACCCAGCAGAAAGTAGGTTTCAAGAAAGTCACCCCTTACCTGTCTTGTTTACCACTGTATCTGCAGTTCTAGAACAATGCCTGGTATAGAGTAGGTGCTCAATAAACATATTTTGAAGACATGAATAAATCAAAACCATGTGACCTGAAGAAGGTAAATCTAAGACATTCAGCCTTCAAGATAAGCTTTGGTAAGATTATAGGCAGAAGTTCATTTTCAATTAAAAAATGAATTCAATAATCCTAAGGTTACAAAGATCCTATTAATCTATCTCCAACTTTGAGCAGCACCACTACATCGGTTATTTGTTTATTTATAACATTTCTACTTAACTCACAGGAACATGCAAAAAGAGGGAATTTCGCTGAATTTAGAGGAAATCGCCTCTAAATCTGTGGGTCTCAGGGTCTGTTCATTTGTTGGAGATAAACAAGAAATGAGAGGCAGACCTGCTGGTGGTGCCCACTCCACCTCTTCTACAAGTTTTCTTCTTTTTACTTTCTGATATTTAAAGGTGTATTAAAATGCTGTGGCCAAGGTTCTAAACACATTCACTATAACCGATTTATTCTTCCCTTCCTCCTTCCCTCAAAACTGTGCCCAAATCTGTCACCAATGCCAATAAGCAGACAGGATCAGTGGCAGAGCTTACAAAAGTGAGGAGGAGACGGGAGCTCTGCTGCCCCCAGGCACCTGTCACTTAGTCTCCAGCATCCCCCAGGAAACAAAAACGACTTTTCTGTATTAAAGTTTAGTTAAGGGGTTGCAGATCCAAAAACATTCAACCAGGATAGTGGTTAAAGTGATCTGGAGGCAGACAGAGATGGGGATCCTGGTTCTGCCTGACCTTAAGCGAATTTCTTAAACCCATTGAGTCTCCCTTCCCTTGGGTGGGAGACCAGGATAACAAGACCACAGCACCTCAGGGTGGCCATGGGATTAAATAACACACGAAGAGCTTTGCACAGATAAGGGCTCAATAAGCTTATTAGCTTTATTGTTGTTTTTGTCTTCCATTCGCAGAGTAAAAAGAAAAGCCAGGATTTGAGAACATGTTGACCTGCTATGTTCTCGACCCAGCATTAACTCTAATTTGAGCAGTAGCAAGTTCAAAATATAAAAATGTAATGTGCAAAAATATGTGGTCCTATTTCGTTGTAGATGCTCTTTGCTGTAATGCTTGATTTAAGGTCTAACCTTGTGCTAATCAGTCAGTCTGTCATTTCTTTCCTTCGGATCTATTACAAGAATTTCTTTAGGACCTATTATTCGACCTGCACTTTAAGAGGGACGATGGAAAGATGAAATAAAAAACAACAGCCCAGCTGGTGTGACTCAGTGGTTGTATTCCTGGTCAGTCAGGGCACAATCCCCAGTAGGGGGCGTGCAGGAGGCAGCTGATCAATGATTCCCTCTCATCATTGATGTTTCTATCTCTTTCTCTGTCTCCCTTCCTCTCTCTGAAGTCAATAAAAACATATTAAAACAATAACAACAACAACAGGTATTGTTTCTGATCATAAGAAGCCCCAAAGACATATCAATCCAGGAGTTAATTCTGGATTGGCGATATATTCATCAAATTAAAGTGAAAAAGAAAAAAAAAAACTATGAACACAATAAAGTTTGCATGGATTTACATGCTCTTGCCAAGTCTTATTAATACTGTCAGACTTGACAAGGAATATGTTCGATGAGACCAATTTCCTTTAATCATTTTATACTTCTCTGGTGTAATCGAGTCTCATAAAAGACAACTAACAACAAGAAGAACAGAAATTTAATCCCAACAAAAAAATTCATCTGAATTGACCAAAAAACCCAAACCCGCACTGTGTCAATTGGCATCTTCAGGCAAAAAGTTCTGCAGGCTAATTAGCCAGCGATGGTCCCGGGAAGCCAAGGGGCGCTGACATTGGGAGGGACTGACTTTCTCTAGGGCTCAGAAGCACAAATGGCTTGCTTCCTCCTCAACTAGAGGTCACCTGGAGGCAGACAAAATAACAAGAACAATTGCAGGAAACCCTGGAA